ATACCAGTCTTTTATTTCTTTATATTGCCTTGACTTCCTCTCCATATGCAAAATCTATGTCTACATTTTTTAGTCCCACTTTTTTGTTGTAATGTTGTCATCTTTTACATATTGACATCTGTTTCCCTATTTTCAGTGTTTTAGCTTTGGTTTATTTTTGTGACTTCCCTATCTGAGTTGATATCTGGTTGCTCTGTCCTGTATTTTAGTCTTAGGTTGTTATCTAATGTTATTGATTTTCTAACCGGAAGGCTCCCTTTAGTATTTCTTGTAATTTTGGTTTGGTTTTTGCAAATTCCCTAAACTTCTCTTTATCTGGAAATGCCCTAATTTTGCCATCAAATTTGAGAGAGAATTTTGCTGGATATATAATTATTCTTGGCAAGCAATTTTTTTCCTTCAAGGCTTTCTAGATGTCATCCCATTGCCTTCTTGCCTGCATGGTTTCTGCTGAGTAGTCTGAGCTTATTTTTATTGACTCTCCTTTGTAGATGACTTTTTCTTTATCCCTAGCTGCTCTTAAAATTCTATCTTTGGTTTTAGCAAGTTTGATTATAATATGTCTTAGTGACTTTCTTTTAGGCTCTACCTTATGTGGGGTTCGATGAGCATCTTGGATAGACATCTTGTCATCTTTCATGATATCAGGGAAGTTTTCTGCCAACAAATCTTCAACAGTTCTCTCTGTATTTTCTGTTATCCCCCTCTGTTCTGGTACTCCAGTCACTCATAGGTTATTCCTCTTGATAGAATCCCACATAATTCTTAGGGTTTCTTCATTTTTTAAAAACTATTATCTGATTTTTCCTCAATAAGTTGGTGTCAAGTGCTTTATCTTCAATCTCTAATTCTGACTTCCATTGACTCAGTTCTGCCTCTATGACTTACTACTGAGTTATCTAATTCTGATATTTTATTGTTAATCTTCTGGATTTCTGATTGCTGTCTCTCTATGGATTCTTGCAGCCTGTTAAATTTGTCATTATGCTCTTCTCTAATCTTTTGATTTCCTCTATTGCATGTTCTGTGTTTTGCTTAATTTCCTTTCTGATCCCTTGAAGAGTTCTATATATTAATCTTTTGTGTTCTGCCTCTGGTAATTCCAAGAAATTTTCTTCCTCTGGAAAATTTCTTGATTCTTTATTTTGGGAGCTTGCTGAAGCCGTCATGGTCTGCCATTTGATGTGATTTGATATTGACTGTTGTCTCTGAGCCATCAATAAGTTATTATATTTATTTATTTTATGTTCGCTTACTGTGTCCTAGCTTCATGTTTTGTTTTGTTTTGATATGCCCAAATAGGCTGCTCGTGTGAGCCAGCCCGATCTCCAGCGCCCCTGAAGCTCCAATAGCTTGCCACCAGGTGGCCAGACCTGCCACTAAGTATGTGAGCCCAGGAGTCCACCCCACTCCTCCTTTATGGATTCAGCTCAGGTGTCCAGGTAGTCAGCCACAAAGTGTGTGGTACAGGCTCTCACCTACAGTCTAGACAGGCATGGGTGATTGGTGTAGGCACGGGTATCTGGCTGCAGCAGGGGGACACAGGCTGAGCAAGGCAGAGGGCCAATGGCCACCCCCAAGAGTCCAGGAGGAAAGCGTGTCCCTGTTCCCTAGAGCATGTAGATGGGTGGGTTTTGCAGCCAGACTATGAACACCCAATGCTGTTGACTGTAAGGACTGGGGGGCACCTCTTGTTCTTAGGCCTCTGTCACAGGTGGCTAGGTGGCATGGGTGGAGCCACCAGTCCCCGGGCCCCTGATGTGGGTAGGTGAAGACCCTGCTTAATGGGCAGAGCAGTGTCAAATGTCATGAACCTGCCACTTCACAGCTGAAATAGTTGATGTTAGACGTCAGGTATATACCCTGTTGTAGTACAGTAATGAGGGCCTACGCTTTGAAATGGGCCCACACAAGTCTATGCAGGGGGAAAGACACTCAAAGTCTGTGCATTCCTTATGCCTGTACCTAGGCAGAGGAGCTGTGCCTACCCTGAATTCCTGGTTAGGGGAGCTGGCAGATTATTTTTTCCCTGTTTGTTAATTTGTTCACTCTCCAAGGCCGGGAGAATGGCTCAGGGTGCAGATGGGTCCTACTTCCGGCCCAGGGGACTCAGCAGTTGCTGAAGCCAGTCCCGGTCCCAGTGCAGAGCAGGGAGCAGGAAGGTAAATGGGAGAGAGGTTTTTCCCTAAGGGAGGTGTTTTTGATCCGCGCAGTAGGCCAGACGCAAGTACTTATCTTTTGCCGATCGAGGGCTGCTTCTCACTGGTTCTGAATGGCTGAGTAGACTGTTTGCTGCTGGGTTTCTCTCGATGTGGAAAATGCCCCGCGAGTGCCTCTGCTTGCCTTGCCTCACCACGCAGCATGAGCTGATGAGGCCCGAAGGGCTCAGGCTCTCGCTCGGTCATGTCCGGCAACTCCTTGCTGCTTCTGAACTGTCTCTCCCTCCCCCTTCCACTCAGTCTGATTCCTCAACTTTGCCTTTGATTTTCAGGGCCCTAGGTTGTCATATATAATCGATTCACTTGTTTTTTCGGGTCTTTGTTGTAAGAGGGACCACCAGAAGCATCTGACTACTCTGCCATTTGGCCCTGCCTCTCGAACCTCCAACCTTTTGGTTAGTAGCTGAGCACATTAACCATTTGCACCATCCAGGGACCCCTCTGGAACCTTATAGGGTATAATTCTTTTAGCAGTTGCCCTATTTGTCCTCTTTTGTAATGCCCCGGCCTGTCTGTACTCTTTCAGGAGCCTCTCTTTCAGGTACAGCCACACTTGCGGACTTGTGGCCCGCCCTTGGACTTAGCATTTAGGAGAGCCAATACTTACTGTCATTCAGGAGAGGCATACTGACTTCTTGTTCTTTCTCCCCACAGGGACAAAATCTGCCAGGCCGAGTCCTTTTTCTGCGTTATGTAGTACAGACCCTGGAAGATGACTTCCAGCAGATCCTGAGGAGGCAACGCCAGCACTTGCAGCAATCCATTGCAAGCACTGTGCTGTCCTGTGACAAGCAGCCCCACAATGTCAGGTAACCAGCCACCTGAACCCTGGAATGGCAAGAGGTCGGGGTTACAGGTGGGCAGCTACTGAATCGAAGCCGTGTGTCCAGTTCCTCTTCAGTGGGCCAGAGAGTATCAGATGGATGAGATTTTCAGGTCACTATATAGTGTAAGAGGATAATCATTAAAACTGTAGGCAATCATAAAAGAAACCCTTTTCCTGCACCAACTATGAGCCAGGCAGCATAGCTTGAATAACCTTTCTGTCAGAACCATCAGGCTTCCTCTGGTTCATTTCAGTATTATCCAAGCAACCCAGTACAATCCACATGGGAAACCTTAACTTGTGTAAAACTTTTTATTTACAGCTTTTATAAGCCTAGATTTTTTTCTAGCCCCCTGAGTAACTCAAGATAAATCTCTTGATTTTAGGGTCTCATTTGTCACTGTTGGTTCCTGAAAAGTAATGTTATGATAATAGGCCATGTGGCTGACCAGATAAATAATAAGGAAGCAAGCACGTGTTCTTTTTTATAGAATCAGGGTCAGAACTTCTGAAAGCTTCAGACCATGGAACTACTACATCCTTATACCGGGGGAAAAGATGTAATTTCTAGGGTGGGGCTCTCAAGCTGGAGTTTTCTTCTTGGAACCACACCTCTTGCTTCTTTGGAAATGGCTCTCTCCAGCATAATGTTCCAGCATCCTTTCTGAAGAGCAGCACTGAAATTCTTCTACAAAATAACACGTCCATGTGTTCTTACATATTTATTGAGAATAGTTTTCAGAGGCAATATGGGATATTAACTATTATAACTCTAACAAAAAAGGAGGATATTTTGTTATGTTTTGGACATTAGTGAGCTTCTTCTCCTTAATTTGCATGCTTGTATCTATTTTTCTGTATGTAGCATTTTATGTAAAATTTAGATGTCCCAATGGAGCAGAATTGAGAACTTAGACATAAATTCATCCACTTATGGTCAGCTGATCTTTCACAAAGGACAAAAGTCCATTAAATGGGGGAAAAACAACCTTTTTAAAAATAGGGCTGGCAAAACTAGATGTCCATCTGTAAAAAAATGAAACAGGACCCATACCTCACAACACACACAAAAACTAACTCAAATTGGATCAAAGACCAGGAAAACTGGTTGAATGGACACAGGGAACCCGGGGTGTAAAGGAATAGGGTGAGAATGCTGACATGTTGCAGGGACTGGAACCAATGTCACAAAACAAATTGTGTATAAATTTTTAAATGAGAAACTAATTTGCTCTGTAAACTTTCACCTAAAGCACAATAAAAAAAAATTTTTAAATCTCATAAGTGCTGTTATGAGAAAAACAGATTATGATGAAAGAGGATTAAGGGAGGAGAGGAGGGAAGATCTTTCAACATATGGCACTCAGAGAAGGGCTCTGAGAAGATGACATTTAAGCTGAGGTCTGCAGGATAATAAAGATCCAAGCAAGCAAAGAGCCAGTGGAAGGCTGTTCCAAGAAAATGGAAGAGCAGAGGCGAAGACCACAAGATGGGAAAGTAGACAATAAAACTGAAAGAAGCCCACCGTGGCTGCAGGAGGCTGGGTAAGGGAAGACTCGCATGAAATGAGGGTGGAGAGAGAGTAGGGCCAGACCACTCAGAGCTTTGAGAGCGTGGGTGATTCATTTGTAATTTTTCTCTCAGAATAAAGCAGGAGGTGACTTGATACAATAAAAACAAACAAAATTGCTGCTATGTAGGAAATGGATTACAGCAGAGCAAGAATAGAAGCAAGGAAGGCAGTTGGAAGGCAACAGGTCCAGGCAAGAGACATCAGAGGCTTGAACTGGGGCAGTGGTAGCGGAATAGAAAGAAAAGAACAAGTGTAAGATGCTTAGGAGGTAGATTCAACAGGACACAGTAATAGATTGGATATAGAAGATGAGGGAAGGAGATACATGACCAGAATCCAGGCATAAAATCTAGTGGTTTTCCCTTGTCTAGGGTTCCCTCAAACCTGGGCAGACCTGTCCCTGCAAAGCCCTGTAGTATTGGAATTTGCACCTTTGGAACTGAGTGAGAACCAGTCTCCATGAGGTTAGAAATGGGGAACCTCCTGAGGTGGGCCATTCATTCTATGGTATGTAGTACCCTGGCCCTAGAGACACATAGGCAGACTAAGTGAAGGAGGAAAAAAGCTGGCTACCATGTTGTTGTTAGATGCCATTGAGTCGCTTCTGACTCATAGCGATCTTGTGTACAACAGAACAAAACACTGCCCGGTCCTGCACCATCCTCACAATTGTTGCTATGTTTGAGCCAATTGTTGCAGCCATTGTGTCAGTCCATCTCATTGAGGATCTTCCTCTTTTTCACCGACCCTCTGCTTTACCAAGCCATAGAATACGGGAAATAGACTCCATTAGTTTTTATGCCTTAAATAAAAATATAGAATAAGGTGTGTTAAAAAAAAAAGTAGGAAATCCAGTGGAAAGCAGAAAGTATCTTCATGTATACAACTTACAAATGGTTCAGGGGCAGGGGGATGGATGGAAGCATATATATATAGGTGGAGAAAAAGAGGGGAAGAGAGGGCAAAAAGGTATGTGAAAGGGTATATGGGTGTTCTTAGTACCATCCTTGCAAATTTTCTGTAAATTTGATATTATTTACAAATTTAAAAATAAATTGTAATGTTAACAATTGTAGGGATAGAATATCAGTAGAGAATCTACAAATAGCACAGGACAGTGGAGTTGCATTTTAAATTGAAAAATAACAATTTAAATATCAAGAGCAACTCTGCCCACCATTATGCTTGTGAGCGTAGGCATTGGAGTGACGTCTCTGTTGCTCTCATTTCCACTTCTTATGGTGTGAGCCTCTCACTATACTGAGTGTGATTCTGAGGTTCAGAGATAGGCATTTTTTGGTATTTGTGGCCTCTAAATGCAAGTCAGGACCCCCATTTTGTGCTCTATCAGTGAAAAAAATCTGTTCCAGTTGTTCATTAAGAGATAGGTGTTAGATTGATCTCACAACTCATCAAACAAAAACCTGTGCAGTTTATTGTATATAAATTATACCTCCAAGGTGATTTTTTTTTAATTTATTTTCTTGTTGTTGAGAATATGCACAGCAAAACATACCCCAATTCAGCAGTTTCTACAAGTACCATTTAGTGACATTGATTGCATTCTTCACCCTTCTTTTCTGAATTGTTCCTCCCCCATTAACATAAATTCGCTTTCCCCCAAGTTTCCTATCTAATCGAGTTGCTGTTATCAATTTGATCCCATATAGACAGTTCTTGAAAGAGCATAATGCTCAAGGCCTACGTTTAAAGGTGATTTTTTTAAATAGGGGAAGAGAGAGCAAGTCAGTCTCCATTTGGCACCTTCTTAAGGGATTTTCTTTACTTTTTTCTTTTTTAACTACACATACAAAGACTCAATGCTCAGGGGCAATGAGCTTCTGTTACAGTGATGATATAATTTGGGAATGGATAAGGGTGATGGTTGTACAACATGATGAACATAATTAATGTAATGAACTGTACATGTAAAGATTGTTGAAATGGCAAATTTTTGTTATATATATTTGTTGTTGTTGGCTGCTGTCAATTTGGTACCCGACACATCGCCACGTTACAGAGTAGAACTACTCCATAGGGTTTCTGTAATCTTTACAGAAGCAGATCGCCAGACCTTGCTTCCACGTAGCCACTGGGTGGGTGTAAACCGCCAACCTTTGGGTTTACGGTCGATCGCAAACTGCTTGTGCCACCCAGGCTCCCGCAAAAGCCAGCATCTGTGTAAGGCAGAAACCTACCAGAGAAGGAAAACTCAAATAGTTTCCACTAATAGAGAACGATAGAAAAGTGGTAAGGCTGCCCCCATCAAAGGTGGAAAATTTTCAAGACCCGGAAAAACAAGGCAGTCCTGTTGAGTTCCAGCTCTCACAGGTTTCACTGTATTTATTTGCCACAATTTTTTTAAAAAAGAGTAAACTAGTTGTACAAGATTTAAGAAATACACTAAGCCCCCAGGTTCCCTCCCCTGCAATTTCCTTTCCCCCAGGAGTAACTACTTTCAACTCTTTTGATTCTTTTGGTATTTACCACTATATGGCTAAACAACAAACTTGTATTGTTACTTCTTGATTTTTCACTGTTACCCCTTATCTGTTGACTTCCCACGTGGAGGCAAGGAGTTAGCTCTTTTTCCTTCCCACTGCCGCACTCACACACACATTTCCCAGTCCCCATACCATTAGTATAGTTAAATCATAATTTTGTTTAAATCAGTATGCAGTATTTCTGTTATTACAACAATGTATGTTAGTCAAAGTTGAGCCAAATTATAAACTATGATTACTTTTCTTTTCCCTAGATTTAATAATTGTCTTAATTTTAGTTTCTTAGCTTTCTTTGTGCATATCAGAAACCAACCTCAAATTTTCTGCTGGTTGGTCGCAGTCTCAAGATATTTATTCGTACTAGGTTCCCACTAGTTATTCCATTAATTTCTTCTTCTTAAGGAAAACTGTCACGGAGCATTTTGACCTCCTTCAAGCTGGAATGGTTGTTCTCTTTGCCAGTCTTCTTCACCATAAATGTGAAGATTCCCTTCACCGCTTTCACCTCTTTCCAGTATTGGATCTCTTGAGTTGGTTTTGCTTTTTGTGTTACATCTTTCTCTTTCTTGGTTTACTCTCATTTTGATGGATCAGTCTCCAGTAGCTTCCTAAGAAAGGTATCTGGAGAGTAAAGTTTTTGAGATCCTGCATGTCTGAAGATGTCTTTGTCTTCCCACAGGTTGATTGATAATTTAGCTGAAAATAGAAATCTAGGTTACAAATAACTTTAGGACCTTGAAGGAAATCTTCCATTGTCTTTTAGCTTCCAGAATTGCTGTTAAGAAATCATAAGTTATTTTCATTAATGATTTTTTTTGTATGTGTCGTGTTTCTTTCCTCTGGAAGTTTGTAGACTCCTCTTTTCACCAGCTGTGCTTGTTATAGGTCTGTATTTATCCATGGTGC